ATAATATTTAATAATATTTATCAGAATAGTTCATTTGATTCAAATATTATCTGTGATACTTTCATTTCAATAATATAATGGCAATTGTGATGGCTGGCAATTTTGTAAGTAATAATATTAATAATATTTCTCCTCTGAAATAAACATACATAAAATCGATTCCACCTGTTAAAATCCGTTTATATATCATAAGGCCTATTGTAGGCACGTAACATATGACATTTGATCAATCAGGAGAGTTTCGCGATTGTCGTCCGCAATGTTCGCTCAGACATGTGTCGTCACATACCATTCTATGTTTTAAGCTCTATATATGTTAAGGATGGGGTTGTTAGACCCTTTCTGAATAGCTTATTGTATTTGATCCAATAGCTATTCCGAGGATTTTGTACAATTGAATATATTAAGGAAAAACTTGATGTTATCTCCTTGGAAGGCGGCCCAGTGGGACTGTGGCTTGAAGTCCGGAATTCTAAGACCGCTGTAGGAATTGGATGCTGAGGAAGAAATTGACTTCAGAAGCACAAATAAGGAACACTGGCTGCGATTAAAAAAGTATTTATTTTCACAAATAACATCTAACACTCGGAAAATTTAACAAACTCATACGGAAAAATCAAGTAAACAACGTACATGAAAAGCGAGCCCTCATAAACGCTCATAATTAGCGTTTATATGTAAATCTTCTAATTTCGGAATTTCCAGAGATTTAGTGTTGTCCGATTCTGGCAAATGTATTTTGCTTGCACCATCTGCTGTCGTTTCGGAACCGGTGTCGTTGTCGCAAACAATATACAACGGAAAACATACGAGAACTAGTCCTTCTAGTGTAATGTCTAAGCATAGGCGTCTTCCCGTCTTTGTTTTTTTAAACGAATTGTTATCCAATCTGGTGATTTTTTGTTCTTGTTATGTTGAGCGAAAGTTACGGCCACGTTGTTTTCGTTGACGGTAGGTGCGTCCACACTCATTTCTAAGTCGGCACTACTAGCGGTAGCATTGACGTTTGGTGTATTATTCACAGAACTTATTGATTCTAAATTATTTTTAATAAACTCTGTTTCTAGTAAAACCTTTATCGTTTCGACAGTATGCACATGACATTTTGTTTCCATTGTTCCGTCATCGCAAACTGTTTACGTACACACACAGGTTTGCGGTACTTTTCTGATTACTCACTTTTATGGCACAAGCAATACACTTTTAATCCGGCATTTATAGGTCCGACCTCTTCGACAATTGACGTGCGACTGTGAAAGTACTCAAAGTGTCTGAAGTCGGAGAAATATGCTGTTTTTTCTGACAGTCTCATTTAATATAGATATGTGAGATGTTGTCTCAGGAAGACAAAGAAAAGGTCAACGTGATGATCATGGGAGATTTTAATGGAATAGTCGCAAAGGGATACGAGGACAAGATTGTGGGCAAATATGTATTAGGCAGAAGGAACTACAGGGAAAATATACTTATTGACTTCTGCCGCAGAAACAATCTAATGATCACAAACGCATGGTTCAAAAAGCGGAAGACAAAGCTGTATACTTGGAAAAGCTCTGGAGACAGCAAGCGATATCCAAATTGGCTACATCATCGTCCAAAACAGATGCATAAGTAGCGTGAAGGACAAGGACATAAAAACAAAACCAAACAATATCCGCAAACGGGTGAAAGGGTACAGATGGAATACGGAAAATCTGAGAAATACTAGTGTCGAAGTGAAGAGAGAAATAAAGGCAAACATTGGCATTTTAATGAGACCATAGTAATATAAAATGATAATTTTAATGAGATAATAGTAATATAAAGATATGCGATAAAGACAATATGCAATTTCCGCAGAGAATTGCTGTACAACTAACCTCCAAGAAATCCGATTTTTGGGGAGAAGGCAATACACCGCACCACCACTCGTACAGGAGGTCTATCCCCGACAGTGAAGGAGTTTTGCTACAAGCTCACGAAGACGCTTTTCTTCGTCTCAAGAAAGTGCTTAATATCATATTAGGTCTGAGGCAGACTGAGGAGTACTACTATAAGAAGGGGCGGACGAGCGACCAGTCGAATATGCTAGGCGACTACTAGCACCCTATGAGAGGAATTATAGCACCACGGAGCGCAAAGCACTGGCGGTGGTATGGGCCGTCAAAAAGTTTTGTGGATACATTGAAGGTGCAAAGATAACGATAGCTGCGGATCACCAGCTCTTATGGTGGTTACTTCAATCGCTCAGCGGACGACTGGCACGATGGGCATTGCTACTACAACAATACAACCTTCAGATTGATTATACCCTAGCTTGAATCAATGCCGCAGTAGACGCATTATCACGACCCAACATCGATGATGAAAGACCCACAGTCACACAAATTGAGATGATCATAATTTATTACCCAAGCAGAAGCGCGACGAAAACACGACAGGATCAGCTGCAAGACAAGTTACAGGAAATAATTGACGCTTTGGAAACAGCAGAGCAACAACAGGATAACCGCAAAAAGTATATAATCCTGGTGACCGAATATGGGTAGCGACGCATACGCTGAGTAACGTTAAAAGAGGGTTTACGTCCAAACTCGCTCCACGACGAGACGAGCCATATGTCATACTACAGCAGAGAGACCCGACCAGCTACGAAGTAGGCCGCCCCGATAACACAGATGAAATTATAGGCACATTCCACGCATCTGCATTATCATCTTTCTTATGAGACAAAGACATTTCACCTGTGACTCCGATCAGAAAACGCTGTCGGTCCAAGAAGGGGACTACGAACCAATAGAATGTTTCTATGTATGGACTCGGCACCGAGACTACAGTAGGCCCATAGGGGGAGTCTGTAACATTTTATATTTAATAAATAACTATTAGTCATGTTGCAATTACTATTTTAACAAATAGACATAATATATCTGTACAATTTGCTGTACGCAAATATTTTTTTAAACAAGGCGCCCAAATAACAGTGACGTCAGCAAGAGAAAGTTACGCATACAACGATGAACGAAGGGACCCGTGCCGAAGCATGATTTAGTATACGCTCTGGCATAAATACTGAAGATCCAGGGTACTCGGTGACGAATACGCATGGTCCCGTTATGACCTCAGACCGTAGGACCTAGCGTAAGACAGAAAGGAAGACGAACTTATGCAATTTGCATCGTCCGTATAAGCAAGCCGATAAGATGTCTTAAGGGGGTTGTTCTTTTTTTGTTACAAAAAATGCAAGATATTTGTTTTTGTTTTTCTCGAAATGTATTTATCATAGAGACATGCGGTTTTTTTTAAACAAAAAAAATACAAAGTCATAGAATATTACGTGATTTTCTTCTTTTTTTTTGCGCCGTCATTTTTTAACCAGGGGGCGCCAAAGTCAGTCTTGCAAAATCGATCTCTTTTGCGGTGGCACAGATAAATCTGTTGCGCATCGCCCGAAACAACAAAAAAAGAAACTACGTTGAAGAAGAAGTTTAAATCCAGTCCCCCTACCAAAATGAAAGAAAAAAAGCAAGAAGGAAAAAAATGGCAGCTATTTTAAAAAAAAAGTGTCAAAAAGGGCCTTTTTTTGGGGCTAGAAGCTTCGCAAAATTTTTCTGCGTAATGTTATCAAGTTGTTTGAGGTAGGGGGACTAGGTATTGCAGTGGTGAACAAATTAAAAAAAAATGCAAGCCGATCCGACTTGTAGTTTTTTTTTAATTTGTGGCACCGCATTGAAAAAAGTCAATTTGAGAAAAACGTATTTAAAGTTTTTAATATAATGTACTAAATACACCATTTAATTTAATGTACTAAATACATCATGGTGTTCAAAGATGCTGACACATTAAAGATGTCCTGTGCATGAGGTATTATAATGAAAAAGAGGCAGCTGGCATACAATAGCTCGCGGAGCGATAAAAAAACGCTTTCAGAGGATCATACATATAGAGATAAATATATCTATAACTTCGTCAAAAAAATAGATATTGAGATGATTTTTTTTTTTAAATAATTCTAAGGTTTTTAGCTTTCATAATATCAAAAAATCTCAAAACCGAAACAAAGCAAAATAAAAAAAGAACAACCCCCTTAAGTCTATGAGTCAGTCTAAGTGAAAGAAAGATGTGTGAGAAAGACGATAATATTTACACATTATACGTCATCGGAGGAGAAATGCATCATAACCAATTACCGCTTACAAAATCAGAAATATTGTCAAAAGTGTTTAGTTCGCCCGCGGCTAAAAGCTTATAGCGAATGCAATTTCTTATTGGAATCATATTAACTAGTAGTTTCTTGACAATCTACGTTTGAAGAAACAACCCTGACCAAACAATTGGAACTTCAGTCTAGTGCTGAAGTAACAACGGTGCGGTTAAACTGTTGGTTAGGATTCTCACCGCATCTTTAACAACTCGACGCCCAGTATCATTTCCGCTTTCACGGAGTATAATGATTAGTACATCGACGCGCATTTTCTAGTTTCATTAAGTGTTCTATATAATCATATCATATTCTGTGTACCCACGAACTATATTTTAATAAAACATAATAGTTATTATCATTGTGTTTTCAGTAAAAATAAAAACTGTTTCAATTTAAGTTTTCTGCACTTTTTGCCTCGAATCTTCGAAGCCTTTACTAAACACTAATCAGCACGTCTCTCAATTTTTCGTCCACTTTCCATTTGTATTGATGGAAGAAAGTGTAGATTAGTTTGTGGGATAGACAAATATTTAAACATTCCGTGTTTGCCAAAATCTATCACAAAATCAACGGTAATTGATTAGTTGTTGAGCGAGATAATAAGTGAGCCAATTTGTAACATGTCTTTCAAAAAATAGACATTCAATATATTTTTTTATTTTAGCATTGTTAAAAAATTACAATCCTTACCACTTTGGTGTATGAAAATTATATGATAGCTCATAATCAAAAATGCTCATGTATTCTGGTCATTACTTTTAATTAATTATTATTTCATTTTGAATATTGGCAATTAAAATCTTAAATTTATTTTCAGAACTGTTTTACAAGCAATATCGGCATATTTAGAGGCGTTTCAAAAAATTGCTGATGCCGCTACTTGCGCCAGAGGTAAATTGAATATAATTGTATGTTTTATGTATATTTGTGCATGCTCATTTAAATTACTGAAAATTATTATAAACATTCAAGTACTGTCCATACTATGTACATAGCAGCAAGTAACGGTAACTATCTTTTTACCTAGTCGCTTGGCCTGACTAGAGACAGAGCGTGTACGTCGAAATAATAGGTAGATCTTAGGTAAAACTAAATCTGAGTTATTGCGACGGTATCATGTTCATGCATTAGCGAATGTTAGAAACAAAGATGATCCCATTACGAAAGGGTTACTCCAACCCCTTAACCCGACTTCTATAAACACCGTGTAATTATCTGTGGAAACTAAATCAACTAACTACGCGAATGAAACAGAATATACAATTGTCCTTATTTAATATAACTTTAATATTACAGGTGTGATGGCATGACAGTACCTACGTACTGCCTCATTAATACAGAAAAACAAAAAAAATCCTTCAGTAACACAAAAATTACAATACAAAAATAAATCCGTTTGCTTAAAACTATCTTAACTTATTTCGTTCTCAAGGAAATCGTGTCCGGAAAAACTGTATTCAGCAAAACTTAAAAAAAACCGTAGTTATTCACAAGACAGAAAAAAAGTAGTTATAAAAAACAGACTAGCAAAAGACAAAAACGTAATAAAGAAAATATTCGAAGTACAGTCGTTTTTTGTACAATTTATTCGTAACACGTTTCCTTGAAACGCTAACTTATCCTATGTGCGTGTGCTGTCACCTATTTTCTTGGTTGTAGTTAATAGATCTATAAGCCCTATGATATGGACAATCTTCTACTGCGTAACGCGCGGAAAACAAAAAAAACTAATTTGACGATAAGCTAGGAACAATGTATTTACGTATTAATTTACAAAACTCAAATATTTAAATAACTAGTTTACTTTTACGGGAATTTACTCTGACGGACGCGACATTTACAGTAATTCAGCCTCTACTGGTGTGATTGCCTCCCAAATACAAGACCACAGATGGGGGCTAAGATCTAGTTTTCCTTCTTGCTACCGTCCGCAGAGCCCCACACCAATAATAATATCACTCTAGACTGACCGTCTATGCCCACCCAAAAACAAATGGCACTTACACTTAACACCTATGTAAGCGGGACACACCTGGGGTTCCCTAGCCCGGCACAAGGGTACCCTAAGTTGCCCTCTTGACGGGAGATGACGTGCTGCGACCTATGTCGCCATCCCGGTCTTGCTGAAGGTACTTTCACAAAATATACCAACATAATTTATCACAATTCACATAATAATTCGACGGCTGCGGTGTTGATTAAGGGCGGTTTCCCCGGTTGAAACCGTACGAGTCCATCGATTCGGGCATATCAATGGTTCTCGCTCGTGGACCACTGGGCCCAGCTTTCAACTCTAATATAAACATAAAACAAAGCATAGATCGGATATGGCGCTCTCATATAAGTCTTAATACTTTATTTATACTATGTACTCGAAATGGCAAACCTACTTTCAACAACTATCCTAAATCTGAGTGATATAACAGTCCTTGTATATCGTACTAAACTCTAAACTTATTCCTATTTCTTATCTAAGAGTAATATGCAAGAGGGAAAGATTAAGAATCAAAAAAGTAATTTTTTAACCGCAAATTCTTTATCTTTAGCTTCGAAACGATTTCTCGATCTACTAATATAGATTGTGTCGCACTAATTTGAAAATCTTGTGAATCGAGTCCAGCTCGTTTAACACTAACGCACAGTCGCTTGCCTCGGCCGCCCGTACTAGCGCTACGTCACTAGGCAGCAGCCCTGCTCTACGTTGCAATAGAAAAAAAGGATGATAAGGGTTACGGCACAATCTTTTCTTTCACATATTTGTATATATGAGTATAATTAATTTAAATCTAACGAAGTACGAAATTAATACTATCTAACAACCTATAGGAGCTCCTTTAATTTTTTTTATTGCCATCATGCCACCATGAACTATTTTATTGCTATATCAGATCCAAAGCCATTCGATGTATCTCGATGAGGACCAGCGTTTATCTATTTTGCGCGACGATCAGCCAAGCCGTTTCTTTGTAAATCACTGGAAAGTGAACAAATTTTCGTCCTTGTTTTAGCCCGCAATTCTGAATAGATTTTGAAAATTCAAAAACCGTTCGAAAGATATTGGTTGGGAATCGTGCTGATTAGTTTTTGGTAAAGATCGACCGGGTTGTTTTCTTGTAATAAAGTGTTAAAAAAATTTTTTTCGTCGACTTTTATGATTTTTTTGGCAGTAGATACTATAGTCTTATTACGGCCCTACAAATTGTTTAATTTTAAAAATTCTTCAAAGTTTGCAAAGTATCGTTTTTTTTTGGCGTTTGTCAAAATTAGACCTTTCATCAGCGTTTGCTCAAAAACGCCTCAACCGATTTCAGAAATTTACAAGCCATTTGATTAGATATTAGTTGGGAATGATACTGATTTTGAATAATGTTTATTAGTAATATGGTAACACTCGTGATGCACACATTTATTAGTGTCGTCAATCATTATACACATTTATATAATGATAAATTATAAATTATATATTTATGATTGCATTAAAAATATGTATAATATTTACAAACAATAATGTAATCAAAGTCATACTTGAAAAAATGTGACATGATCGGTTTAAAGTAATTGCTGATTAATAAATTCTTCAATATTCGTTCACACAGTGGATTATGTTAAACAACGCCTAAACAAATATTGTTTTTGCAAATTCATTCATCCTGTAACAATTGTGTTTGAAGAACTACATGTAATTAAAATGAACATACATTAATTTACTGTTTGTATTTTTTTTACTTCTTCGCTGACGATATAATCTCATTCTTTGAACAGCTGTAATATCTGTCTTGCCTAAAAATACTTTTATATTTGTTTTATTTATCAAGCCCTGCACATAGCTTGATTGATCTATGAATCATTTTCTTTTTATGTGAATATTAATGCAATGATCATCATCAATATTACGAGGTAATAAATTAATCATATTATTAACATCAACAAGCACATTTATAATTTGGCCAAATATTCCAAGTTGTCCATTTGCATGTCGCAATCGTCTAATTTGCATGAAACACAACCTAGGTGAAATTAACCTTTCAGATACAGTATCTAATTTAGGTAGATAATTTGGTATAGGTTGAAATACAAACCCATTAAATTTACACAAAGTGGGAATTTTACCCGAATTTAATGCCTCTCGACAAGTTTGACAATCAACCTGATTATTTGAATCAATATTCAGAAAACCATTATTAAGAATTTGTTTTTGAGCACCATTTGATATTTTAAGTCACTTTGAAACCAAAGTCTATCACACACAAAGCATACATAGCCAAAGCTATAATTTGTAAATTGTTGTTCAAACAATTTTTGTGCATTCCTAAACAAATGGAAGTCTTTATATGGAAGTTCAAATACTTCATTTAACTCTTGCAAAAGATCAGTTCTTGTCACATTATATACAGAATCATTAATTTGTAATTGACGTGTTGTAGTTGGTGTATCAGAAAAAGTTACAGCAGTACTTTCATCTAAAAAGAACAAAATAATATGTTTAAATGTGACAAAAGATTCTTACTTATGTGAATGATGTTGACATTAACATCTACCTGGCTCAAGATTTTCTAATAAATTCGCAGTAACCGATATGTATTTTCCTGCAGTTGTTCTCTTTGACGATGTAACCTTGATCTTTCAGAGTTTGCAAGAAGCTTTGAACCTGCATTGATATTTATAATTACTATTAATTACTATTATAATAAATTAAAATTAGTTTCTATAGCCATCATAAAAGAGAAACATGTAAACTTTCTCTAAATTTTCAATAAAGAAATATTGTTTTCACAATTTCACTTATCATGTAATTGTGTTTGTAGAATTTCATGTAATTGAAATTAACATACGTTTATTAACTGCTTGTTTGTGTTAACTATTTCTCTGCCGATACAATTTCATTCTTTGAGTGACTGTAGTATCTGTCTTGCCTACAAAAAAAAAATTAGAATTTAATAATAACCTCAAAGGTATATAGTAACCTCGAAAAACTCGAATAATACAAATTACTTCAAAAAACATTTTTTCAATCCCCACATCATCCAATTTTTGATTATTCACTCGCCTAATCCAAATCTCATACATCTATAATATTTTGCTTTTTCATTTATAACCTATTGAAGAAACACAATATTACATTTTACATACCTTGTGATTCCTTGTTGGAAAACCATGTAATCTCACTGTTTTCTTATTTCCTACGCAACCAGGAACGTCACAAGTCATTTTTAACACCCTCACTGCACTTTTATAACTTTATATAGAAAATTCTTTAAACTTCACCAACTAATCGAAAATTATATCTAAAAGAACTACGAACGTAATGGATATTTACGAGATTTACCGGCTCAGTATTGGGTTTAGCGTTCGACTTAAGGTGCGTCCACACCTAGCGAACGAACACGAACGAACATGATGAATAATATGCGCAGATTAAAAATTTCAAACAAAAGCGGCCCACGCGCATGTCAAAATCCATGTTCGTTCGTGCTCGTTCGTTAGGTGTGGACGCACCTTTACGCATGACGGGAGTGGATACTCGCCACATCTGCGTTAACTAGCGTCGCAAGCTTCAACTTCACGTTGGCGTTACAATTTCCGTTACATTTGTACTGTTTTACACCCATGTCGCGCCCGAAGAAGTTTTACTTAAAAAAATAAGCCGATTTTTATGGATTTTTTTTGGCGATATACGAGTATATCATGGTCTTATAGAATCTACTGAAATATTGCGGCATTACGACAAGTAGTTTAATAGTAGTTTAATTTTAAAAATACATCAAAATTGGAAAAAATTAATAGTTTTTTTGACGTTTGTTAAAATTAAAATTAGACTATTTACTTGGTATAACGATAGAGCGCTTGGTCTTAATGAACATACTAAACCATTAAAGTCCTACGGAAACTGG